CAATCTTCTCGCTGAAAATTATCTCGCTTTGTACTGACGAATCGAAGTTTAAACGATGGTCTGATATTTTTGTAGTGGTGTGTCCAAACTGTGTGGCGTCTGTTTATGCAGATTATTAACAGATAAACAGAGATCTTCGTGTGTCTCAATAAAAATCAACAATGAAGGCGAAACATTGCCGGAAGCGAGTCGTACAACATTAGCAATAAGCAGTAAACAATAAGTGAACACGAACTGATAAGATTTGAGTGAGTTGATTTTTGCGGTCGTGCATCAATTGTATCGACAACACATTTCGCATGCTCTTGTAAATTCTCAGCACGATTACTGCATTTGAACAATTTGTTGCGATGAAATTCATTCAAATGCTCACTTCTGAATCAAATGAAATATATCTGTTGCTGACTATTGTTGAATATTCACTGAATATTTGCTGCATTTCAATAAATAATGAAATGAAGCAAAAGTTTTATGTTGAATTCACAAACATCAACAACAATCACCATCATCAACACAAACCGTTCAGTTGCGATTGACGACATAATACTGCTGATGCTTTGACGTGCCCATCGCTCAAGCAATTCCTTGCCAGCTTCATTACTAATCGGAATATTCATCTTCTTACCGTCATAATATTGTGCTCCTGGCATTGTGTCACGTGTAAATTTTTTCGTGTTCGTAACGATGAATCCTAAAAATAATACACAACATCAAGAGAAGAAATTCTTAAACTTCTTATTTCATCATATTTCACAAAACCGTTATGTTCGTGCTCGGCTGCTACAGAAAATTAACATAGTTACAGCTATCAAAACTCATGCTCTCCACTGGAACGTATAAGCAGAGTGGAATCACTTAAAAAGGATACATTTCTGCATAAATTTCTCACAAGCATTAAATCCAAGTTCAAATTCCATTGTTCACCTGCTAAAAGCGTCCACAGCATAACATAACCAAGGTGTTGTTTCATCATTGTGCGAACAATTGTTCTGTAACGCATGCCATTTCAAACAACATAATGCTTACCTACGGTGATCAATATACATGAATAATAGGCCTAGATGTAAGTTGATCAATTGAAGAGATCGAATGGAGGATAATCATGCGCAAATCAATGCCAAAGATGAATATCAACAAATCGATTTTCCACCACTAACAGTGAATACTAAAGATTTTTGAACGTTCTACTGAAAAACTCATTAGCAATTCTATAACATCACCTATATTCGTAATGAGCAAATTGCGAAGGCCATTCGACGATAGACTCATTGAGCACCGCGCGGGACGTTGACCCTTGCAGAACCAGAGACATTCATACGGTCAGTCGGACGATTTGCGCTTGAGCGAATTTTAAGGAACTTGAAGCATTTTCTGCACCACGAATATCACCAGTGGCAGCTATCCAAAGAATATGCAGTTTTTGAATGGGACATAAGATTTATGAGATGACCGTAACTAATTCACTCATTCGTCGATTTCGATTGCTTTGTCACATTTGAAATGATGAAGATCACCATGCTCTTTTCAGTTAATCGTTGATATTGTGCAAAGCTATCTCGAGAGCGGACAAACGCTTCAATTTACCGAGCTTTCGGCTACATGCAGCGTACAACATTCACTTTAGTGATTTCAAATTTGAAATCACAAGAAAATATGCATAGATTCATTTTGCCGTAATGCCTCGAAGGTATTCACTTGATGACTATCACGTTAGAAACTTTCAGCGTCTGATGCCAGTCTTCCCCATCTGGAAAATACGACTAGATAGCGAATATACGTAATGATGATCTCTAACAGTGAATACCAAATCACTGACAGTTTGAATGTAGTACTAGTTATATTCATATGGTACTGTATCAATGATCCAGCTAGAGTTGACATATCTTCAGAAATCCATCTATATCTTTTGAACTAAGCAAAATCCACCGGCAATATATATGATATTCTGCAAGTGTAGAATCTTTTCTACTCAATAATACCAAAATATTGATATGTTAGTGGACAAAATTGAGGATAGTGGCAGTTTGAGAGGATATCTAGAACGATGTTATCTTCGAACGCTTTAAAATGACTCAAAAATTGCTGAATTCAATTTTGTTCAATTCAATTTCGAGCGATAATTGCGCACGTTAGTCTCCGCTTCCTGCACCAAAATGGACCACTGCACCGTCGTCACAGAGACTGCGAACATTGCTATGAAAAGGACTCGCGACTGGTTTATGGCTTCAGTTTCTCGTTGTCCAAGCAAAATATGTTTTCAATGATAGGCTTTAACAGTTCTGTTATTGACAATAAATGATATTCATTTTTCTTTTTGATATTACGCTTTGTCCGGTCCTGCATGCCTTTCTCTGTGCTCGCATTTGAATTGCCGTAACTTTCAAGGAAATGACCGATAGCATTGTGCCTACGTAAGTTTATCAGTTTGTTCAATTTCCCCGAAACATCTTTTGCATAACACTCGATTAATTTAAAGATTCACTAGCGATTTCTCTGCTTTGTGAGATGATGAGATTAATGCGTTCGGTAGTGCTCTTCCTCTCGCTTTTTCTCATAAATCCTTACAAAACTTTACTTTTGCTACCAGCGGTTTTCCTATTAAAATTGCTCATATCATCGCGTTTTCAAGATATTGTTCGGTTAGCATTTCGTCGCGAATCCTCGAAATTCCATATTACAACGACATTAACAGGTGAATGGATCTGAATTTCCGTACAACTCAAAACCGCTCTGAAATATGTCTGAGGATCAGATGTGTTTGGCACATGGGTAATCATCTCAAATCGAAGAGAATTTCGATTTGAACTGATTACTACCCATGTGCCACATAGGCAGCTAAATAAATTTGATGGTGAAACAAGAAAGGAAAATCACACGAAATTCGGTGATCAGTGAGGATGATCGAGCATAAATAATTCGTTGTGTAGTCGTGACGGGTGATAAAAAAGTCACACCTTGAAATCGCGACAAGCATTGCGCAAACGATGTAACAGTGCCAATTATGGAATTGAAATAAACACCTAGTAGTTTTGATGAGATAAAATGCGTGACTTGTGCTCATTCTTCGTTCAGCATGATTGATGGGTTTGTTGGAACAGTTAACTGATGAAATTGGATGCGCTATGAATTTCTGGAATATCTGGCATGTGGATCAGTCGTAGAGGTCAATTAGTGACCGTCGTCGATCATAGACTCAGCGAGCACGAACTGTGACATTGACCTGGGTGCGATTCAGCAGCTTATCGTGAGAAAATCATTCGAAGTACTGATAAATACATCATCTACCTCGTAGTTTATTAATTATTACGCAAAGTCTAGCTCTTTTTCCACACTCTTCTCGCTAATTAATTCTACTGCACGTCTGTTTGCAATTCAAAGTTATGAGACAATCTGATAGTGTGATAATAATGTTAATTTATTTGCTAAATTAAAAGAGTGATCGATCACATTTGTGGGATGATGAAGATTGATGAAACAAATGGCAAAGACCTCTCGTCTATTTATCCACTACTTCCATGGTTCACAAGAGAAAACCGTCTCGCGATACTGTAAAACATACATATTTCGAAATCTTCATCAACTCATTCAACAATTCATTAATCATGTGTACAAATTGTACTACACCACATCAGCTACATGAGTTCACGACGATTCATTCCATTTCGCAACCCTCCGTCTCCATATCACTTATGGTGATATGTCCATTCATTCAGTGGGACTTCGTGGGCCCAGATTGCAATAATTACATATTTTCGGACAGCTTTATGCTTCTTCACATTGAGTATCTTCTGTCCCTATTAGTTGGAAAGAATTGATTGTTCTTTGACAGCTATGAGCATGTGATCGATAATGATCGATAAGCGGATGTTCAGTCGGCAAATGTACAACACCTATAATGACGGACTGCCATCCAAAAAAATTCAGATCGATTAATAATGACTCAGTCGCATCCTTTCATCATTGTAAAATGTTAACTATTCAAGCAAAATTCGTGAAAAAAACGAAAGAACACTTTTCTGGGTCATCAAATACGATGATGACCTCAAAACCGTGAACGAATTATTTTCATCGTTGATTAATGACAATCATAAACTCTTGATGATACAACATTACCGAACGCTTCAATAACCAGTCCATTTCTGTATGCAGACAATTAACGATAATGTTTTTCATCACATTCTTTGTTTCGTGTCCTTCATATTTATCAGACGACAAAATCAACGAATTTGTCATTTGTTGAAATTTCCTTGATAATTTCCGACTGAATATCTGGCCTTAGTCATTTGACTCTTATGCTGTTGAACTGAATTTTACCACTATGATCTTATCCGCCAACTTTGATCCTTTTATGGTGAACTAGAATTGCAAAACTATGGTATTTATTAAAATGAAAACAGACACCATTGAGCAATCAATCAGCAATTGTTCTTAACCATGGAATTTAGCTGAATGGAGATAGTGAAAGGACGACGATCGACAAGGCAGTAGCAGTAGAATTGATGGCTGGTGAGAAAGCTCTTGGTGATAACAGCATGTACGATGGTGATCGATAAGCCACCTAGGGACTCATTACAGTAGCACGTAGAACTCTTGGTTGTAGAATAGTTGAACATGGAGCAGATTGGTGACAGTAATGTTGATGAGAGAATGAAGTGAAAATGGTGACAAGGTTGACGGATTAAAGATTTGGGGTGATAGCATTACTGGACGCATTCGGGAGGCGATAGCATGAATAGTGAAAACCTATTTGGACAATTTATGAGGGGTGAAATTAAAGGAATCGAAAGTACAGTTGGAATGAAGAGCCAAGGACTGAAAATGAAGGGGCCCAGCATACCGGTAAAAACTGAACCTGATAAAACAGTGGGTGAGAGGACGTGAAGGGGAACACAATTAAAGATGTCGAATATTCAGTCAGTGGGTGAAGCAACAACGGTTGGTAGAATTTGACGTTTAGGTCGCTTTAATACACTTTTACTGTTCACAGGTTTAGTTAACGTACCATCAAGAAGCACAAACTTTGATGAGCTTGATGATATAGGAAACGGTACCTGGTCAATCTGCCTTAAGACATTCGACCTAGCTTTTGCCTAAAGGCATTGCCTAAAGTTTGCCTAAAGGCAGTTTGCCTAATGGACAGTTTGCCCAAAGGGCAGTTTGCTTAACGGACAGTTTGCCTAACGGACAGTTTGCCTAGCGGACAGTTTGCCTAACGGACAGTTTGCCTAACGGACGCTCATTAGGCAACTTTATTAGGAAAACTGTTCGTTAGTCAAATTATCCGTTAGGCAAACTGTCCGTTAGGCAATATGTCTTTATGCAAACTGTCGTTAGACTAAATGTGTTTAGGCAGATTGACCGGTCACGGTTCGACTGCTATGCGCACATTTGAACGAACTTGTATGAGCTTTATTATGGTGTTTACATCTTTATCTGATTGCCAGTGATATTTTACAATGCAACAAAACAGAAATAATCCAGTTCGTGATCTATTTATAGATACTGACGTGTGAAAATTTTGCTAAGAAGCAGTGCATACGAATTTTTCTTTTTAAGACCAAATGTCAATGTATGATTACTAGATTCGAGGAAAATTAATGTAAGGTTTATATGGCACTTAGTGGTGATCTTTAAGATGGATCACAGGCAAGAATGCTTTCAATGATCCCCTTCGATGCTTTCGAATTATCTCAAAGTTCAAATTTCTAAGGAAAGATCGACGAATTGCGGGTGTTAATTTATTGCAATTTTGGATTTGCAACGGATAATGTTGGAATTCGATCATTGCAAGCATTCTTGATCTGGAATGGCATCTTGAGCACTGGTCGGAAACATATCAGCTTGAGTGATATCGTGGTCGTTATCAGAATGCAGTGACACAAATGAATTGCAACGAAATATTTGTTATTGTTGCAATTAAATGCATTTTAATGTTGAAATGATTAAATAACCGATAATCAATCACAATTTCACGATTGTCCGTTTCCACACTATAAGAATGATTGGGATGCTTTTTTTTGTGTGGTTCGGTAATGATTTTTAGGATTATCAGTGCGTTGCGTATTTTTCTACCCAAGAAATAAGACTCTGAAATGTGCAGCTCCCAGCTCAGGGGAATATGCCCTTTGTTCTGTTTTCCGAAAAACCAGTTTGAAACGTCCGACGTATCAAATTTCTTCGACGTGGCAGCGCCGATGTAAAAAGTTCTCAGCATATGTGCGTCATAGATGAACAATGATGATGATAGTGATGCTGATACGGATGATTGATCGTCGTTTCTCAACAACGGCGATTCCCTAAAGGTCAACTACACAATCAGATCAGCACATACAGTTTGATATAGTCACATGCACTTGTGCTCAGAACCAGCCTTATGTGTTGTACTGAAAAACATTTCATCAGGTTTTTTATAACCCAGTTCACGACGTATGCATAACACATGATCTGAAGTATTATCCACTAATATCCTTTAGGATCATTACTTACTCAAGCATGTGAATTGATGCTAATGATAATTTATTTTCCCAAGCGTAGAGGTGAGAGCAACCACTAAAATGTGCTGTTGAAGTTTGTTTCTCTGCTTTACCAAATTCATTATTTGTCGATACGTTGATTACAGTTTAGAACAATCATGCGTTTACGTAATTAGACTCGGAATATGTACGTCGCCGGTTCAGGTTCCACTCACGCAGGAATTTTCTGCTCGAAACGGAATGATGTATCAATACCACTGAAGTTTAGAATACTGAACTGAAGGTAACGAATAAGCATAAATTCCATGTTTTCAAGAAAGAAATCAGCAAAGGTGAGGCCATTACATCAAATGTCCCACCCAGAACAATTATTCAGTACTTTACCTACTATGTCACGTCATAAAACTGATCTCAATCAAAAATGTTAAGATAACGACAAGGCCTTCGAAATCAATCAAAATCGAGCTCGTAACTCTATTCTGGCTCCACATTGTAGTCACCAATCTTTAAAAGTACAAGTTGAATCACAGTCGTTAGCCTATCAA